CATCATGCATGACAGTTGTTTGTATAGCTGATGAGCTATACAAACTTACACAATCCTGGGCAATTGCTGACACCAGTGATAAAGTTTTTTGTTCCTGCACATGATGTTTATTGATACTTCTCTTTATAGACCAGTTGTTTGGGTGGTGACTAGTGAAATATTTCCTCTCTCTGTTAGAGGTTAGCTGATACTGCTCTCTCTCTCTCTTTCTCTCTCTCTCTCTCTTTCTCTCCCTCTCTCTCTCCCTCTCTCTCTCCCTCTCTCTCTTCAAGTGTTGCTGTTTCAGTCACTACCTCTGGTAACTGGATTGGGAACTTTGTGGTTGCTATGGTAACCCCGTTACTTCTTAGTTTTGTACTAAAGACGACCGGTACATTCTACATACTGGCAGGGTTTCTCTTTGCTTCATTTTTATTTGTGTTGCTAACACTTCCTGAAACAAAAGGAGAGAGTTTAGAGAGAATTGATGAATTGTTTCTGAGACCATGGCTACAGAGGATTAACATATTCTACTATCTGAGGTACAAGTACATGTACTGTGATTTACTGATTTTCCTTAAACTTGCATGATAGACAAGCAGAAATGTGTTATTTATGCATATACTCTGTTGTGTCACTATTAAGTAGGTGTATTGATTTGATTTAACTCCAGACTGACCACGCTACACAGAATGTAAACTGATATCACAGTATACATAGAGTGGCTGTAATGTATACTGGAATATGTGGAAGTATGAACAGTAGTAGGGAGCAGTGAAAGGGTGCAAAGGTGAAAGCATGATTCAAAAAAATGCACCTGCCATGCCTTTTCATACTGAACTTTAGAAACAAGAAAAAGGAGACTAAATAATTATATTTCAGGCTTTTTCCTATACTGTTCAGTAGATCTACTCCTTCTTGTCATCTTACCTATCATATAGCTCATTTGACTTACAAAACAGTTTCTACAACACTCTTTGGTATATACAAATAGCTGCATGAATTGCATTTGGGGCAATGTATTTAAAATGTGCATGAATGTATATTGAAATTTATAAAGACCCCAATACCCCATTATAAAGGATCTAGCATCTAAATGAAAAACAATACTTAACCTTTATTCTCTGATAGGTGTTGTTGTCCATGGTCTAATGCTTGTAGGGTAAGGACTGCACAAGAAGAGGACACTGTAGCCATTGTTGGTATAAAGAATGAGAACAAAGATGATACGAGTGATGAGGCTGAAGATGAGTGAGTCTTTAATCATATACCCTCTTTTTCTCTTCCTCCTCCCTGACTTCCTCCCTTCTCTCTGTCTCTCCCCTCCCCTCTTTCTTTCTCTACCTCCTCCCTCCCTTTCTCTTTCTCAATCTCAATACTCTAATCATGTACACATACTGTTCTTTCTTTTTATAGTGAAAATGAGTCACTGATAAAAGATACAGATGTTCTTGAGTCTAGTCTTTCAGCTAAATTTGACAAATAATGGATGAAGCAACCTTTGTATCATTTTGTGTACTAATAGCATTGTTAGATTTTTATGATGCAGACAGATTTTATTATTTTGCTATTATTTTTAAAAATTTATACATGCAGCAGGTTGTACAATGTAACACGGCATTAATAGAACTATCAATGATGTGGGCAAGACTGATAGATCTAACGGTAATAGCAAGGATAACTCTAGATACATCTGTTTGCTCTATGCGAGTGGTATTACTGCAGAGATAAGTACATAGCATATGTAGATAGACTATAAGCTAAAAACCTAGTCTTTTCAACATCACAAGACATACATAGATCTATGTTTGCTCTTGGAGTTCAAGCCTGAACTGCATGGTGCAGTTCAGACCAATCAAGTACTGATCTATGCTGTTCAGGCTGAGATGATACATTATTGACCAGACAACAAATGACGAACAAAATCAACAATACACTGATGCAGAGAAAAAACTTATACAATATGGTATTCATACAAATAAGTGTAAGTACATGGTATAAATGGCACTGAGTCACACAACACAGTTTTTGGGTACTTTGCAATGAATCGCCACAACCTAAAATAATACCGTATAACTACCTCAGTAAAATTTAATTCCACTAACCATTTCTCCTTTTTTGTAAAAGTAACTTGTTCCCACTTCTTGGTCAGGCTCCACCAAAAGCTTGCAATGATCGTCTTCATCATTCTTATACCAGACTATATCTCCAGCGATGATGGCTGCAGCTCGACGTGCTCCTCTGGTTGTCTCTTGCAATGGTCTACGAGGAAGAGCTGCCCGCGCTATCAAGTTAGCTCTCGCTTCTCTAAGCCACATTATAAATAACAGCAAAAGCATCATGTCTCAACTATGCAATCAAGGCTTGCTTTCTGAAGAAGAGCTATAGCAACACACTATGTCAAAAATTCTCATATGATATCATCCATGAATGTGATTAGGTCATGCGAGAAACATAGATACCGTATTTTACCGATTAAACGCCCGGGCGTTTATTTCTTAGCAGCAAAAAAAATTCGTTGAAAAAAATTAAAAAGTGGCCCTGAGCGGGAATCGAACCCCCAACTCCAGGAAAGTTAGACCAGGCTCTAACTTTTAAGCACTTTAGAGCTATCTAAACAGAGGGGTATTATTTTTGGTAAAAATATGCGTATCTATAGCTAGAATATATTAATGACAGGCGTTTATTTGGACCAGGCGTTTATACGGTAAAATACGGTACTTTAATACACATGGATATGAATAGGGATGAGCCTATTATTCCAGCATAATTTTAGGAATAATAGGGGCTTCCTCATATGAAGAATAATGCTGGAATAATTGGATGGAAATAGGAATAATAGTGGAATAATGGGTGGAGTTGAGGTCAATAGTAATTGCAGAAGAAAATTTAAAAATTTTTGGCTAGTGTTTTTTGGAAGACCCTATTTTTAAAACATTGCTGGAATGCAATTTTTAGGTGAAAATTGATTGTTTGAGAAAATTATTGAGAATAAATTGAGAATAATAGGATAAAATGAAAAGAATAATGGGGGAAATTATTAAGAATTTCCAGAAAGAATAATGAGAAAATTTATGAGAATAATAGGCTCAACCCTAGATATGAAACTGCCCTATACCGGATGCTCCATGCGGTCCAACAGGAAGTGATGTAATAATTATGGCAGAGCCAGCTAGATGCATGCATGGTATTGGTAAACAATACAAGTACAACTATTGCCACTAAGTTGTGACCATTTTTATATTAAGATTCACAATAATACAGCAAATAATTGGAAATGATTGTACAAGTTCTGTGGTTATGAGCCAGCAGAAATTATAGCCTCTTCTCAGTTCACCAAATATTTTGAAGAGTGATACAGTCCGGGGTACTGAGTAAATGACGGATATTTAACATCAAAATATAAGGGATAAAAATATAATTGAATTATTATCGATAGATAACACCCAGTCCTTCAATAATACTTTTTCTGCTGGAACCTATATTATTATTATTATTATTATTATTATTATTATTAGATTTTACAGCAAAATAATAGACTGAAATAGTAACAAAATGTGGATGGTGTACTAAGTTTGAGTTCGTGCTGAAGGTACACCAGTACGCTCTACTGGTGCCCAGAATATTAAAAATAAAAAGATTAAATTAAATGAATTTAGGAGAGTAAAAAGTAAAATAAGAATGAACAGACTGATAGATTAGGGAGGGTGAAGAGGTAAGAAGTTGGGAGTACGATGGATTTGAGAGCACTTGGAGCAGGGGCATAAAAAGTGAAATGTGCATGGTACATTGGGGTTAAAATTATCGACAAAGTGGTTCCAAAAGTAATCCTTTAAATGATGTTTAATTGTTGGTAGGGATAGGCTTATGTCAATGATAGGTAGGGCATTCCACAGGCGACAAATTCTCCTGAAATAAGAGTGATTAGAGACAGACACTTTGGAAATTCGGTGTTTTAGCTTCATTGTGTAGCCTGCTCTAGTTGAGGATTTAATGAAACAGATGTAGTTG